AGGTAGCTGTTCCAGACTGAGTAGTCATGGCAACCGGCTCCCTCCGTGACACTGAGTCTTGCTCTTTCTGGACACAGAACACAGCTTTTGGCTTGGTTCCACTAGAATCCTGAGGCACCCTTCCTTTTAGCTGCTTTAATTTCTCACACTCTGAGATTAGATGACCCTTTCCCTGACAGAAATAGCATTTTCTGGTGTATTTTGATTCTCTCTCATCTTGTTTTGGTTTTCCCTCCAAAATCTGAGGTCTTGGTTTCATGTCTGAGGGCTTCCCTTCACCATGGGCCCCTCCCCCTTGCTGGCTTTTTCCTTTTATTCTCAAATCCAGCTCCTTTTGCTTGGCCTCAAACTCAGCCCTGATCTGTAAAATTTCTTCCTCAGCCCTAGCTTTTATCTCTTTTACTTTTTCTTCCGTCTTATCTCTGATTTCTTTTAATTTAATGTCTTTTTGCTGATTATATTTTTCAAGATCTTGCTCACTTTGTCTGGCCTGAGCCTCATACTTTTCTTTCTTTGACATTTCTTCCACTGATAAATTGTTAATAAACTTATTTAGGAACTTCAATTCTAATTGTACCATTCTAATTTGGAGTTTCAGTTCCATCTGTTTGATCCTCATGTCCATTCCCCTTGTCTTCGCATCTTCCTCTGCCTGACTGATTTCAGCTCTTTCTTTTCTTCTGATTTCCATTTCCCTCACCCTCAGTTCATGCTGTTGGGCTAGGAGTATTTTTCTGAGTTCTGGGTCTTGCTCTCCTGTGCTGTCACCTTGCACTGAGCCAAATTCATCCTCAGAACCTTGGTCAATCTGGGGGTCTTTCACTTCACCCATGTCTGCTATCTGGCTTCGAGTCAAGGGCATAATCCCCCCTCAGAACAGGCTGCTTTAAAAGTCAAGCCTCAAAATAAAACGACCACTTTTTTCCTTTTTGCCTCAGAACCAGCTCTCCCTAGAGATTGCTGCTGTTCTTCAGCACTAACTTGCAACAGTATCGAGTCAGAGCCTACCCCCCTCTGCTGGGCCTCTCCGCTGGCAAGCTAGCTCGCTGTTGCTACGCAGTTTTGCCTCAGCTTTTTCCCGCCAAAACTATGCTGCCTCTGAGCACCTTAATCTAAGTCTCCCCAGTTGGCACGTTCTTCTACTAGCGCACCTCCCCGTGAGGTACACCTAGAAGATTACCTACGCGCCTCAGACTGTCCCTGACTAGACCCCCCTTGCTCTGGGCACACTTGCCAAGGCTTTGCTGGACCGCTGGACAACTGGACCAGTCGTATCCCACACGCTGGACACCAATCAATGTGACAAACCCAGACCTACTGGGATCTGCCACACATTTACACTAAGCTGCCACCAACCATTCCCTGTAAGAAGTCACACAGACCAGGGATGGATTTTTAAACAATAAAAAGAATAAGGTTTATTTAAATACACACAGGGAAAAATAAACAATCAGGTGAATAGGATAAAGTAACGTGGCTTATTCTCACTCATACAAGCATACAGTTTGGTTCACCCAGAACCCTTAACTTGAAGCACAGACCCTGAACCTATCAGTTCTGGCTAACCAACAGACACCTGAACCTATCAGGTTGGTACTCTGACACCCAGTAGTACCCTGTCTGACACACAGACTCCCACAACAGCTTCTTCTTCCCAGCTGCTGCTTCGTCACAACCCAGTGTCTCTCAGTGTCTCCCTTCACCACACACGCTCCACATATATATACAGTACAGCCCCTCCTCCTGATGTCCCGCCTTCCACTCCCCATAGGATGGAACTTTCCCTCCAAACCCATGACAGACAGGTAACATCAGTGCTGTATGTAACAAGAACAACCATGGAAAAGCCCTGCCATGTGCACAATACAGAGTTGTACATGAGGCATGAAGCAATAGGATTCTGGTCAAAGAACCCTATCAATGATGACCAAGTGCCTTGAAGTCTCTGATCCATAGTGAGCACCTGGACAACAGGCACAGGAGGCATACAGATCACCTTGATGCAGTTTTCTCCAAGATGGTGAGATATATTTCCATTTAAATTGTATCAAATCTTTCTACATTTTAATCTTTTCAAATAAATCAGTATATGCGAATTCTATTCTACTCTTCTTTTGTTTATTCTGGCAATATGTTTCCTCTGTTTTTCAAACTAAGCACCATAGAGTCATGCCCACAACCGGTTTGAGCAGTCAGCACAATTTTAAAGCTTTGGTCAGTAAAAGAGCTGATCTGAGCAACAGTTTCTAGTTATTTTACTTCTCTCCATAACGCTACCTATTGGAGGGTGGGAATTTTAATGAATGGCCAAGTAGGAAGAGAGGATGCAATCAAATCTCTACAGCCCTGTCCCTTTGAATTTCAGTTTCTTCCATTTTAACCTGTTCCAGTAGGCATCCTTCAGTCTCAAGAGATTATGGTAATGTGCTCTGAATAGAGGTCTTGGAACAGCGTCTGGTGTGGCTGAGAAGGCCAATTTGAGAGTGACAATCCCATATTGAAGACTAATACAATCTGTCCCCTGTCCAGCTCCCTGATTTTGCTGGTTTCGGGACTGCCTCTTTGCCTCAACGTGCTGGACAAGGGTCTCTTCAAATTGGGAGAGGCCATGCTGTACCTCCAGGCTGAGCACTCAGATGTCAACATTTCCCATCTGTTGAGGCACATTCCTAAGGCCTTCAGATCCCGCTTGCAGATATCCTTGTATCGCAGATGTGGTCTCCCTCTGGGGCACTTTCACTGCACTAATTCTCCATACAGGAGATCTTTTGGAATCTCCTGTATGCAGATTTTGGAATTACACAAAAACTAAATAAAACTAAATAAATGCAATGTGTGCTGTCCTCTAGAAACCATCACCTGAAGAGACTTGCTTCATCTTGTTTTGATCTTTCCAGACTTGTTGAGTTTTAGAAAGCAATAGACAGTCTTTAAGAAAGATTGATCCCTGATAAATTAATCAAATCCTGCTAAATCCCTTCCTTCCTTCCTTCCCTCTAATTGGGGTTTTTGCTGTCTGAGTAATCAATTAGGCCCCATGTTTATTCACCCGCAACAATTATTCTCTCTACATTAGGGACTGAAATGAAAACACTTCTCTAATTTCGCTTTACAAAGGGAGCATTTCCATAGAGGTCAGGCAGAGCTATTCATTAACCAGTCTTTCAGTAAACACATCATGTCATTCAAATAATAATGATCCATAAAAGAAACTGGAGCCAGTCCAAAGATAGTGCTTAATGCTATAACATTAGACATCTTAACAACTTACTTAACACAATGGAGATTGCAAACGAGTTCCAGGATATTAATATATGAATGCAGTGGCATGTTGCATTATGAAATTTTTATAATCCCCACATTTCAGAAACACTTGTGTTAAATATTAGCACTTCTGAAAGATGCCGCTTAGCTGTTCATTTTCTGGACCTACGTGCAGAACAACGTTTGGTAGGGTGACTTGGAAAAATGGCCATACTGTTTGGGGGTTTCTGAGAGTTGTAATTGAGAAAAGTAACTTTTCCAAGCACTGACGCACAGTGAGCAGCAAAAAGAGTTACTTTCTCTTTGCCGTAATGGTGTCTCTTGCGCTGATCCTGTTTTCATGGTTTGATTAATCAGAACATGACATGCAGAAAAGGTGTTAGCTGTGCTTTGTGCCGGGTAGATTTCCAAGGGCAAACATAATTGTCATCATTCAGAATATTAATTTATTCTAGTAATTAGATGCAGTCAAGGAACAGAGCTCAGCCCGATATCTCAGAAGGTGGACTACAGAGCAACTCTGGATTTGGGATCGAGCAATTTCTGAGTATTTTTCTGTTCATTAAGGCAAAAGTGGAGCACAGAAGTTTGGGGTGGGATTTCAGGCAGGGAAGCTGTGAACTTTTAACTAGAAGTTCAAAGGTTCACACCACCCAAAGTGGCCTTAGTAGCCAGATGGGCAGTATAAAAATAAAACATATAAATAAAATACACCATGAAATCCTAAGTCTAGCATATCGTTTACCTCCATATATCCCTCAAAAAAGAGGAAACATAATAACAGTCTACCTGGCCACAGTAGTGAATAAATAAATAAATAAATAAATAAATAAATAAAAATAAATAAATAAATAAATAAATAAAGGTAAATGTTTTTCTCATGCTCCAACTGCTTGTCCTTGTTCTCAGTTGGGTCCAACAGTATAAAGATTGTCATGCTGCTGATTACTCAACCCTGCATCTATTTATTTTTCACTCCGTAAGTCCAATCGTTAGTATTAAAATTATTTATTTTATTTATTTAAAACATCTCTACAGTGCCTTTCTCCTTAAACAGAACTCAGGGTGGCTTGCATCATTAGAAGACAATATTTTAAAGCTAAAAACATGAGGTATCCAAATATTGGAAAGAATCAAACAAATTACTACACTAACACGGTAAGCAGCAAGGCACAACTACCTACAGTATTTCAAAACCTTTCTCAAACGGCTAGTCCCTTAGGGAAAACCTGCCTGAAGAGAAAGGTTTTTCTCTGCTTGCAGAAGGACAGTGAGGATGGGGCCCAGCTGGTCTCTTGTGGTAGAGAATTACGAAGTCTGGGAATAGCAACAGAGAAGGCCTCCTCCCGTGTCCCCACCGAATATACCTGTAAAGGTGGTGGGTCCAAGAGAAAGGTCTGCCCTAATGATCTTAACATGCTGGCAGGCTCATAAAGGGAGATGCCATCCTTGAAATAGTTTGGACCCAAGCTGTTTGCGGTTTTATTATAGTGCTGAGCAAAAGTTTCATCACTATAAAGGATCTTTGAGGTGAAATAGAGAAAGATGTAAGATAACAACGTTTGAGGATGATACGAAGATGTTTTTCCAATTGTTTTTTAGGCAGGGGGCTGTTGGAGCTGGCGATTTTGTGGGAGGGATGAATCGGACACAGGTACAACTGTGAATTCTAGCAGAGCTATCCCTCAGATAGATTCAGCTTGGATAATTTCTGTCAAGTTCAGAGTAAACCTTGGATTAGATTCATTGCCCCTGCAAAATAAGGGTCAGACCTTATAGGCAGAAAAAGTGCTGATTTTACTCATTTATTTACATTTGAATGCCTCCTTTCTTCCATTTAAGGGAGTATAGGCAGCTCACAAGTTGTTAAAACAACAACAGCAAACCAACTAAAACCACAAAAAATGACATTAAAAACTGTTAAACATAGTATTAAAACACCTAGTTATAATTGTAAAAAAAAACAAAAACTTTAAAACACACGTAAAGTAAAATCCAGCACACAAGATATATAAATGCCTAGTTAGTTGTTAAAAGCCTTTTGAAACTCCTTCTTGTCTTTTTGGCAACAGATGAAGGACAAGAAGGACGTTTGAAACCTAGCTTCTAAAGAGAGAGCATTGGGAGCAGCTACAGAGATGGCCCTTCTTTGCCTTTTCACCTGACATCCCTGGGAAGGTGGTGGGATTGAGTGAAGAGTCTCCCCTGAAGATCTTAAGAGCCAAGAAAAATCATATGGGGAGAAACGGTCCTTTGGATAGCCTGCACACAAACCATATAGGGCTTTATAGGCCATAACCAGCACTTTGAAATAGACCCAGAAATGGACCAACAGGGGAGTGATATGCTCCCTGTAACAGGCCTTGGTAAGCATCCTGGCTGCAACATTTTGACCCAGCTGAAGTATCTGAACCATCTTCAAAGGCAGCCCTTCATGAAGTGTATCACGGTAATTTGCTAGGAAAGTAACAGCATCATTGTCTTTTTTCCAACAAATATCTTCTTTCCTGAATTGAGTGCAAATGGCATCAGTCCTCTCCCTTTCCCCCAATTTTTCTTATTGAGGAAATGTATATATGACAGCAAGAGGTACTCCATGTGGAGGGAAGATGTTCTCATCACCAATGAGATGTATTACTAACTACAAGGGGTATGCCTTGACTTTGGAAAAAGGGTTCATAAGAAGGTGAAGCAGAGATGTTTGTGTGTCACTGAAGTAGATGCAGGACAGTTCCATAAGCCCCGTGCCATGCTTGGGTCAGTAAGGGCACCTCTGTAGATCACAGACATTTCCCCCAGCATTTGGGGGTGTGTGTGTGTCAAAAGCTGACACTTGTGCAAAAATATTTGGTTCCAGTTGCTGTAGCAAGGGACAAAAGTGCCAAAGCAGAAGGAGATTAACACCAGAATCTCCATTGAAAGCTAAAATCTGTCCTGGAGATTCTGATCAATAAGCCCCGGGGAGGTTTCAGATGGACTTCTCAGGATTTCTATTGATTCCCCATCCATTCGCTCAAGCCAGTTTAGATTCAGGCAGGGCAAAAGAAAGGGTGTGCTTTGTTTATTAGACTAGCAGCTTTCTAGAATTGTCTTGCTGTTTCTTTTTAGCTAGCCACACAGGCTACATTACAATTAGGACCGTGTGTGTATGTCAATGTTTACTGTTTTCTTATTGATCCTAGTTCCTTCTGTCCCAGTTGCCAGCCACAAGAGGGGTTATCACTACTGCTTAACATGTGGGGCCAAAATCTGTGGAGACAGTTCTCTGTGGTATCCAGGGGATGACGTAACCTGCAGTACCATATTTTTGTGTAAGGAACATTCCAGGCTCATGAGGTAACCCATTCCAGGAACTGAAGCATGGTGTATCCATCTCCATATGGCTCATTGTTTCAGAAGCTTCAAACACACAGTGAAGTTGTTCCCAGTGTCCCATTTTCCAAGCAGATAGACTCTTGCCCTATATGGGAGCCAGGCCTGCATCTGAACTGTCTTCATGTCCCGTTTTCCCACTTGTTTCCCCTTTTAAGTCCCTTTTCCTGACATCCAGATGTCTTTGAGATAAGGCCTCAGATGTGAATGTGGGGTGGATGACTGACTCTTTTGTGGGGGTTTTGATTGGATAGCTCAAAGTAGTGTGACAGATTATTTTCTTTCCCCCATCTCAATATTGTATCAAATATGTTTTGAATGTATTAATGCCTGTTGCTGGTCTTTATTTGCAGAACCCTTTCCCCCCCTTGCTGTTTGTATCTG